CAGGTGGCATGGAAGAGGGACACTACTGGTGGTTGCCTGGGGCTCTCCAGATATGGAGCCCTGTACAGCCTCTAGCAGTGGCTCTCTTCTGTGCCATGTGTATCCGCGGTTGGGTTGCTGCAGGTATCACACAAGAGAGATGCCCCTTGTGCAGTACATGAGGCTTGATTCCTGGCCAGGAACTCAGACTCAGGGCTGCTTGCAAAGTGAACCAGAGCGTGGGAAGCTGAGCCGAGGAAATTCAAGGGACTCTCACCCCCAAACGGTTTCCACACACAGTCCTTTATGAGACTACAACAAACATATGGAAACAGTTTCTCTGGTCTAATGAGACCAAAAAGGAAAGTTTGGCCTTGCTGCAGAAGGCTACGTGTGGCACAAAGTCAATAGTGCTCATTATCCTGAGAGCATCCCTGTGTTAAAAAGTTGGCGGTACTATAAAGCTATGGAGATGCTTTTCCTCACGCGGACTGGGAAACTGGTCAGGCTTGAGGGCAAGATGGTTGGAACTAAATAAAGAGCACTTTTCGAGAACCTGAGACTGGCATGGAGGTTCACCTTGCAGCAGGACAATGATCTTAAACATACAGCCAAAGTAACACTGCAGTGGTTTGGAAACATTGCCTTAGAATTTCGTGAGGTTGTTGCTTCAGTCCAATTGAGAATCTATGGCAAGACTGGATAGCTGCTGTTCACCTACCATCCCCATCCAGCTGGACAGAGCTGGAGCAGGAAAAAGGACAAACACCACAGGAACTGCATGCAGAAAGCTGAAAGAAGATTTACCCAAGAAGACTTACAGCTCTAATTGCTGCCAAAAGTGCTTCTACCAAGTGTCGACTGCTGTGTGCATGTGTGCACACACATGTATCTGAATACGCATGCAACCAAGAAATTCCAGTTTGTTGTTTATTTACATTTTCTGCCACAGCAAAAATAATTTTCATCTTCAAATTGTTGAGTATTTTGTGTGGATCAAATGGCAACAGTGCTAACTAAATCCATCTTCATTCCAGATTGTAACACAACAAAATGTGGAAAAGTCAAGGGGTTGAACATATGAATACTTCTGCAATGCAATTAGCATAATATTAAATTCCATTTGGAACTTCAGTTTCAATTTCACTTCAATCAATGTCTTTGCAGCAGTAAAATGCTCTCATGTGGAAGCACTCATTCTTGACAAATTCCATTGAAGGCATATACAATTAAGCTGACAGGACATAGGAATAGGCTGCAAGCCCATACCTGGTAGTGCGCATCAATGAAACAAACCAGGCTTCCATAGGCATACGGGTGGCTTCTGTGGTAAGAGAGTGCTGGATCAGATAGGCCTTTTCAGAGCACTCTATGTGTTAATATTGTTAATGTGACTTTCTTCTAGGAGGCATAAGTAGGATTGTGCTGTTACTTCTTGAAGAAACCTTTTATCTCATGGGTGGTCAACTTAAGGCCCTTCAGATGTTTTAGCCTACAACTCCCATCATCTTATAATTGGCTATGCTGGCAAGAGTTGTAGGGACTTGCAATCCCTGTAGGGCCACAAATAGTCTACCACTGCTTTGCCAGATAGCTTTTTGGGGGATGCGCATTTTGGGGTGCATCATTTCCAGTTTCCATGCACAGACGCACACAAATTAGATGAAGGGCCTACTACTGTCTTGTACTTTGTTGCAGGGATGAGGGCGGGTGGTTTTCATCAACATGCTTTACTTCACTCATCGTGTGTTTCAAAGGAAGGGACCGAAAGGCTCACCAGCAAATCAAGGCAAATTTACCCAAGAAATGTTTCCATCATGAGATTCCCTCCCCTCCCCCCCCCCCCGGGGGGGTTCTTTCCTGATTTCACACACATTATATTTTTAAAGTGTGGCAGATTGCTTGGCTGATTAAAGAGAAAGAAAGAAAGAAAATGAAAACTCTGACAGGATGCAGCTGGTAATGCTAGCATTAGTGTATTTCAAAGTGCAGCCAGAGCTTCCATGGTGACCTGAGATGATTCCCAGCCCTGCCACCCACCCTCATTCTCTGGCACAAGCAATAATTCAAGCAGTTGACCAGTTATGGAGTTGCTGCTGCTGTGGCAGCTGCTGGAGGACGTAAAGTTAAATGAGGAGAGAAAGCAGGAGAAATAGACTATAGAAACCAGCCATATGTGTGCATGGGGACTTTACTGTGGATTCTTATGACTGATTCACCTGATGTGCACTGGTTGTATGTGTGTGGGGTGGACGGGGAATCGCAACACTGATGCAATAGACGTGCTCTGCTGTTATCTTCTTGCCAAAGTTTGCATTAACTGCATTTAAAATCTTAGAAGCAAGACTGGGAAGAGGCAAACTCTCCCATTGAATGCCAGCAGTTCTCTAGGATTTGAGATATTCTTGGGAAAAAAATCTCAATCAGATGAGGTTATCCCAAAACGAAACGCAGCACATTTCTTCAAAGTCTGGAATCTTTTCTGCCTATTTCCTTTGGCCAGCCTACATCTAAATCAGTGATGGATGCCCTGTGCCAGGCGGGACTCAGGCAGCCCCTCATGGCTGTTCTTTGCTCTCCACTATGCCGCTGTGAATTCGCTCTGGTGCATGGGAAGTGCATGGCTTGCTTGGAAACAGAACTGTGCTCCTAGAGGCATGATCCTTGTTTCCCTGCTAAGTGGCCATGAGTTTTGCTGACTGCAAATTCTGTGGCAGAGCTGTGATGCATCCCGCAGTGACTTGGGGGCATTTGTAGCCTCCAGCTCCTGATGGTTGCCCATGGCTTATATAAATATAATACTTAATGGGGTTTTAGCCTTGAAACTGTTCCTTCCCTTCCCCCACTCCTCCTGCTCCTTTTTTCCTCACCGGTTACTCCATTTGTGAATATATCTCTGTGTGATAATGTGCTTTGTGTTATAATTATATGTGAATAACTGTGCTACAGAAAAAGTTTTTTCCTTCAAATCATAAAGAATAATAATAATCATTCCATTATTCAATGGAACAATTATTCAATTAGTAATCAATAATAATGATAAATAAACAGTATTACTATTATTGGTTTATTCAATATCTAAATAGATGGTTCAGCCGTGTTGGAGGGTGTTCTAGCTGTTCTGGATGGGGTTGCCCTCCCCCTGAAGAAGCAGCTTGGATGTTCTCCATGATCCATTTTTTGCCACAGGAGGCTTGGGTGGCCTTAGTGGCATGGGGTGTCTTTTGCCAGCTTTGGCTGGTGGCACAGCTATGCCCCTATCTGATTTCTGTAATCTAAAGTCTGGTAATCTCTACGTGAGAGTCCTGTAATGCACTGTGGATGGGGCTGCCCTTGCAGACTTTTCAGAAGCTACAGCTTGTGCTAAATGTGGCAGCCTGATTAGTAGGTGGGGCCAGAAGGACTGAACATATTTGACCAATTCTGACTCACCTGTACTGGGTATCTCTAGGCTTCTAAGGCCAGTTCAGCTTGTTGGTTTTGCCCTGTAAGGCCCTCCATAGCTTGGAACTGCAATACTAGCTGAACGTCTCTCCTGGCCTCAATCTATCCAGGTGCTACAGCTGAGGACTTCCTCTGACTGCCATCTCAAAGTAAGGCTTGAAGGGAGAAATCTAGGGGAAACGTATTCTCAGTGGTGGCCCTCAGTTATGGAATAATCTCTCCCTGCCTGGCATCAGGTTAAGACTGCCCACTACTCCCAGGCATTTAATGACATATGATGGGATATGTCAGTAGTTTTAACAGGTCTAGTTTTTACTGAAATTGCTTCAGCTTAAGATATTTTTGTATTTATTTACTTTTTTACTTTGTGAAAATGCAGAGCAGGAGATACAGCACAGCATGTTTGCACTGCTCCTCCACTCTATAGATGTCCATAAGCTACCAGATCCCAAGGCTTTCAAGCACTGAGGCTGCAACCTGTAGGGTTACACTTTTAGTCATACATTGAATCCAGTGTCACTTATTTTGAATTAAGTACATACTGAGTTTAGAATTTGCGATAGTGCGAGATGGACACCAATGTGTGATATAGTCACTCTAAAATTCATGTCACTGTTTCAGTTTAAAGTCACATGTTGGTATCAAGTTTTATACCATTCCCTGACACACATCAAATACATAGATGATTCCTCTGTGTTATTCTACCCCTACCAATCTGAACAAAAAACTATATTTCAGAAGAGTTTTCTCCTCTGAATTTCAACAGAAATTTAGTTGCAGTACTGGATTGAGTGAAAACATTTCTCAATTCATCTGCTTCTGAAACTTGGCTCAGTTTTTCCAGAGCCCAGCTGTCACTCAAATATTCCCAACCAGCAGGTTATCAGACCTATTCAGTATCTAACAACTCCCTTTATATTATCTTTGGTCAGATGCTAAGCATGCTACATAAATAGGAGCTTAAGTAATTAGCAATCTGGACCCCAAAGCCCATACATATTATTATTTTGCTGACTTGTTAAATTGCAGCAGCTGTGTCCTATGTCTTTGTGTTACTTTTCAAGGCCTTTGGCTGTAATTACTGCTTTATTCCCCTTTCCCGCTTTCTCTCTTGCATTGCTTATATAAATGCTAATTTTTCTTTCTTTATCTTAGATTTGGACCCTTAATAGTCACACTGTTAACTACTTTTCATGCTGGTGGTATAAAGGCATGTCTGACATGACATTGCATCACAATATGGGAGGGAAAGGCTCTATTTAATATGCTGTGGAATTCTGGGAGTTATGGGACTTGGTTCTGCCTAAACATGCATAGGATTACACCTGTAATCATACTTTTCAATAGTGAGTCTGAGATAATAGTGAATAATACTGAAATATACTTGTCAATTAGGTTGGCTGCCTAACGGTGTCTGCCAACAAAACTCAGTGAAGCACCATTCTATTAAAGGGACAACAGTTGCACTAATATCTGTTTACCTCAGTGGCTATTTGGATCAGACACAATTCTGGACCCTCCTTTAGTTTTATTTTAAATATAACTGGATACTTCCTAATCTTTTCTTTATGGCACAGATTTAGATCCAGTGATTCAGATACTCCTTCTACAATCAGTAAAGCCAACATTTGAAAATATCACACCTGTAAGTAATAAGGTTTTTTTTTTTTTTAAATCCTTGATAGAAAAAAGTAAAATTGGCCACAGTTCAAAAAAAAGTTATGATCAGCCTGGAGTGGCCTCAAGTGGCCCACTTAGGCATCCTCCCTTTTGCAGTCAGTTTCAGGTCTCTGCTAAAGCTAAAGTCACCTGGATCCTGGCTTTGCAATGCAAATGCCCTAGCGGAGGTCATCTCAAGTACTCCCATTAACAGGCCAAGTACTCCCATTAACAAACCTATTGACAGTAAGTGTCCAGACAATCTTCAAGAAGCCACCTCAGAGCTAGAAATAAGTGATCACCTGACAGAACAGACTAAAAAAAAGAGATTCTTCAAGAATCTCCACCCTGGCAAATGGAGAGGGACTGCATCCCAAGGGGAAGGAACTTCATGGCCCTTATCTCTCAATACTGGTGCTAAGAACAACTCGCCTTGTAAGTACAAAGAGTTTGACAGAAGCATCAGATGAGACTGCACCATGGTCCTTTCCTGCAGTCAAGCCCTAGAGTGCATGTGTCCCAGAAAGAGAGAGAGGCCCAGCATAGGCACCAGAAGGATTGCACCGCAGAGTCTGTGGAACTATGTGGGCACTTTAATACAGACCTGTGCTAGCTAGACTGTGTTACTCTGCCTATTTGTCATTTGCCATTGAACTTGCTCATTGTTTTGTGATATTGCACTGATATTGCCTTTCCCTGTTCTGCAGTTTTGGCCTAAGCCCATAATAGAACTTCTGCCCTGTTTCCATCAGACTTTAGATTGCCTGCTTTGGGGTTGAAATAAAGAAGGTTCACAATGTTGCTAATGTGAAGGCCAGGTTGTATTTAATAGGCTGGATAAAGCTTTAACTCAAGTTGGATTGTCCTAAGGGCACACAAAGACTATGCCCAGTGCAAGAGTCCCCAGTCATTTCCAAGGGACCAAGAACACTTGAAGACTCAGAAAACTGTGCTTGTTTTTCTATCAGTGGAGGCAGCCAGGACCATTTGGTACCACTGCAACACATCTGTAATTATAGCTGGAGTACCCACCAGGACGAGGTCACTGTAAACAGATCTCATAGTATAGCAACAATTGTTTTGACTATTGTCATGACCTGACGATCAGTGTAAAGGAAAGGGCCTTTTGAGGCTTGAGGAATGGCAGGGGTTAAAAGACAGAGTTGGCTGGCCTGGTGGGAATTGCAGAGAAGCTACAGGTGGTTGTGCCAGGGACGCTTTGGTGAGGAGGTCATGCAGTGGGAGGAGAAGGGTTGAAGGCCTGAAAATTTACAATGTCAGATATCATCTTCCCCGGGAGGAATTCCAGGATGTAGGGAGAGAGATAAGGGCAATAAAACAAATGGTTCTGCAGGTCTTGCACCCTGGGAAGGACATAAGGCTTGGATTTTTCAATGACCCACAGGGGATCAAAGGGTTATGCTGGCTTGGGGAGGGAATAAAAAGAATGCTGAGAACCAGTTCATTTGTTGTTTTAGAGTCTGGGACGGTCAAATGACCCTGAAGGGGGACAACCTCAGGAAATTGTATTGAATTGACTACCTCATCCTTTTTCCCCTTTCCCCCTTCCCTTACTCTTGAGTAACTGAAGTGCTTTGTACCTTTTCCTTTGTTTGTATATGTTTGTTGTAGTCTAATAAAGACTCTTTTCCCCTAAGTCTTGGGTCAACGTGTGCTGGTCCAGTGCCACTTCTTTGTCAGGGGCCTGGATTAAGTCTTTTTTGACCCCGGGAGTTGTCGGAAGGTGGGCACTTTCGGCAGCATTTGGTGGGGGCGGTTTGCCTCACCGCTACAATCAGAACCAATGCTAGTGCTGAACTTTAAACAAATGCTCTGGAACGGAGGCAGCTGCCTCATAAGGAGTCAAACCTTTGTTCCAGCTGCATCAGTATTGTCTATACAAGGTTCCTCCCATCTGGTGCTCTCCAGATATTTTGGACAACACCCAGCTTTCTTGACCATTGGCCATGCTGACTGGGGCTAATAGGAGTTCAAATACAAAATATTTGGAGGGCACCAAGTTGGGAAAGCTTGGTTTAGTCTACAGAGCATTTCTTTTGCCTGGCATTTGTACAAAACTCACACTAGTGGGTGAGTAAATTATAGTGATTTTACTATATCCATGCTTTTTCAGTCTGTGTCATATATATGTGTGCAGGGGAAGAAATAATTGTTCTTACCTTTGGTAAAGGTTTTGCTTGTTAATACACCATTTTCAGTACCAGAACTTTGAAAAAGCAGCAGACCCACATAGCCTACTTTGAAGGTATCAGTATCCATGTATAATATGTGGAGAGTACAATGGAGCTGCAGCTTGGAAAGCACAGGGACCTAGCACAGCACATGGCATAACACAAATGATCCCCTGGATGGTCATTGCCCCTTTCAATACGTTTCCACATATGTGTATAAAATAAGTTCTTGCATAGGGAGGTGTCTTCGATATAATCTTATATATTAATAGTGGCACAATCCTCTTCAGTCTTTCTGTAAACAAGAAAGCATCGTCCATAGACACGATTGAGATATCAGCAGACTTGGAGAAATGCCACAGTTTGTAGAAATATGTTAAACAAAAGTGTGATGATGGGTGGAGAACCCCAAACCAATCATGAATCAGTGACCAATTAGTCAGTACGAGGAAAATGAAGAGGTGGGGAAGGAAGAATGTAATGTACAGGCTGGCTGGCTGAAAATGGCCAGTGAGTAGATGAATATGACTGCAGCAGCCTAGAAATCTTCCAGCTGATCACCTGATAGACAGGCAGGAGATGGCAGATTTAAGAGGGGACAAAGAATGGGATGCTGTGGGATGCTACAAGAATTTCTTCTCTGTTTGCAAAACATGTGAGCATGCCATTTGCCATCCTGAATGCAAGTACAAGCAGCAGCATGTGTCTGCCACAATTTCTTGAACATGTACTCATATTCAGTATGTGCAAATTTCCCCAGTGTGTGCAATTTTGTACATTAAAAAAACAAATGCACATTTTAAAATTGTCCACACTTTATGGGGGATATTTCAGCAACTTTTGGGGAGTTGTCCAACTTTCAGTTTTGGCAGCTGTTTGTTTTTCCTATTTGTGTAAAACAAACAGTGATTGAGGGTAGAATAAATGAACAGTGAGGTGATGTTTGGAAAACTTTGGTGAGCTTGAGCATCACTTGTTCATCTATGCCTAGTCAGGAAAGACAAGAGGAAGCACTTCTTCTTTCTTAACCATAGCACATAGTTAAACTACGGAAGTCATTATGACAGCAGTTAGTGATAGCCATACCATTAGATGGCTTTCCATAGACAATCTGGTGAGCCTCTTTGAAAACTAAATGTTGGACTAGAAAGATCCTTGGTCTGACATAGTAGGAGCTCTTAAGTTCCTAACTAAACCACTTTCATGGGGAAAAAAAAAAAAAAAAACTGGTCAAAAACAGAGTCAACATAATTTTGCCACAGAGACTGTAAATGTTTAAATTCTCATTTTTATGAAGTTCCCAAAACTTCCATACCATCAAATATTCATATTCTATTTAAATATTGTATAATTCAATATGGGTAAAGTTTAATACTTTATTAATTAAGCAATCAATATTCATTTTTCTCTAATGCACACTGTTCAACCTCATCTTGATCGTGCAGAACAACCTTATGGTTCTAGTCTATGTTTCATGTTCTACATTCTTGTGTTTTGATTGCCTAAATGATTCCGTCAAAAATATTCCTATACTGGTGAACTCATTTTTCAGCATACTGAGTAACTGTAATGAACTCAGTGCATTCAGCTGCTATGTGTAGGATGTGTTTTGGGGCTTGTCAAATTATGAGGCAGGGTGCGGGGTATTTTATTTGGCTTATGTGAAACTTGACATATCCCAGAATGTCAGGGTGATGCACTCTCAAAATGATGTACACATTTTAAATTATATAGCAAAATAAATATCACAGTTCCCTTTAATGCTGAACTCAATGGGTTGAGTGTCTCACTATTTAGAAGCAGCAAAATGGGAACACCTAAATATATACAGTAGCTGTTTCTAAATACTAGCGCTGCCTTGATATGCAAAAGTATATAAGCTTTTAAAATATAGAAAAAGGAGTTGCATTTTAGCTTATTTGCCCTAACAATACCCCTATGAGCTTCCAGGACCTGCAAGTATTGGGAGCATAGACACATGCCCTATACCTACTCAGTCCATTGATTCATTCAGCTTGGAATGGTCAAAACAGACCAAATTTTAAGCAGGGGCTTTCCTTGAATTTCGTAGAGAACCTGGGGACTGAAGCCAGGGGTGGGAGAAGCTGCAAGAATCAAGATTGTGCAGCTCTCAGAGTTACACCTTAGGGAGGTCCACATTATTGCTGTTCCCAAAAGGGAGTTCTGTTGGAGATTGCGTGGGAAACAAACACATTTGGGTGCACATTCTTTAAAGTGTTCCCTCAAATGTACATTCTCTTCTTGAGGGAACTGAGGAAATGTGTTTTTCCTCTAGAATACACATTTTTAAAACGGAAACTATTCCTAATGAATTCGTTTTCCAAACGTGATTGCAGTCTCGGAGTTATGTGACTGTTGCCCCCCCCCAAATGTGCTCATGTTTCCATAGGGGGGTGCAAACAAGGCGAATTCTGATGGTTAACAAACTGAAATTAAGTCCTTGTGCATCCTTACTTGAAGCTGGAACTTCCGCATTATGTTGAGGATAGAGAGATAAGAAAATCTACAGTAACTCTTCTGATTGTCTGGAGGGGGAACATATGGGTTTAAATTGACTGACATTTTCTGGTGTTCCAGGTGGTGGATGTATGAGTCACTCCTGGCTAAATTTCCCTTTTCAGTTACAGCTCTGAAATGAGTTTGCCAGCCAGGGATAGTGCAGAAATGTGAACTTTGTGAATTCTGATACAAACTGACTTGATCTGTACTTCTTGGATTAATATACAAATTGTAACTGAACTGTCATATTTCACACC